ATCGGCAAGTCTAGTGCATTGTTACCCGAGTTTTTTCTTTCAGGTGCATCAAATATATAAGGAAATTTCCAAGACTCAGTTGTTCAAATTCTTTTGACCTACTTCTTCGAGAGATGCTATATTCCCGCTTCTTTCCATTTTTTCACGCAGCGAATAGTGAAGAAAATAATCAAAGATTTCAGTGCATGCCAGAAATACCGGCAAGCCGGCTAGACGATGTAGCAACGGTCGCAGTAAACTGGATACAGCCACCAATTCTGTATTTTTATAAATGCTAGCATCTTCAGTGCCAGAGCACTCAACGATAGCTTGTTAGTACATATTTACTACAGAAACTTAGTACATATTTACTACATATTTACTACAGAAACTTTAGAACATTTGCATGAACATCTTCGCTATCAACTGCAAATTCGAACCAGATGCAACATGGGAAGCAACAGGTGTTTTCATATTGCAGCCAGTTCGATTTCACTGTTTCCATTTTAAAAATTTAACGAAAAATTTGGAAACCATCCAAACTAAGGAACACTTCTAAGTCAAACGGGGATTTTTGAGCTACGCGGGCTTCTATGCTGCTATCTTAGAAAAGAAATAATGGAAGAATCGGAAGCGTTTGAGAAACTTGTATAATGATATATTTTCTTCACTATTGCGGTTTGCAGTATTCATTGCATGTCCGGCCCCTCCGAACCAGTCAACCAGGAAGAAAATGTGCGATGGTGAGTATATGCAAGTGCATTTGTATGCGAACTTTTGTGCACGCTTGCATGATTACTAAATCCAACTTACACAGCTAGAAGAGTCGGTAAGATGAAACTATGGCAAGTTAGTTAACAAAGGCGTGTAGCCAGCCCAAAGCTCATTTTTTTTCTTGGCCAGTGATTTTAGGATCAAATTCAAACAAATTTTATGGATCGAAATTAATTAAACTGCAAGTTTGGGGTTTTGAAGACCTTATTAAATAAGCAGTACAATGGAACACAAAACCTTGTTTTTCCGCCGAGTTCGAAACTTTTTTGAAATAACTGGAAAAGTCAAAAGATTCACCTACATTGATAACATGCGGCTTGGGAAATGACGGTTCAAGTGCCATCACTGCCGAAACAGCCTCCCGATTACGGCCATGACGAGTTGTCGGTCTCTCTGCCGGTTCCGCTTGGTTTGTTAATGCTGCTAAAATGTAAGGTAGTAGAATCTGATTTCGAAACACACTCTAAAAACTTTTAAGCTCAAAGTTACCTTCACCGGCTTCTTTTTCTTTTCCAGAACGTATGCCCAACAGTTCGTCCAGCGTACTTTCATATCTACTGCCACGTGTTCGCCATGATTTTTCCTGCGCCATCTCGTGGCAGATAAATTCTAAAATTTTACCTGCACTAGTATATAGATTCTCTTAAGATGACCTGGATGCATTAACATACGAAAGCCTTTATCACTGAAAAACCTTTGCCTATCGCAACTTACGCTTTTGTCGCACCGTTATTGTTCAGAAGCTATTGTTAAAGTTAAATAGCTCCACACCCAATCTACTTATTCAGCACATTGATTAGTTCTTAAAAATACGTGGCATCGAGAAGCAAACCCCGCCTAGGATTATTCCAGACAAAGTGAAGTTTAAACTTGAAATTTCTTGAAATTTGAGTTAGCAGTTTTTCAGAAAGACTCGCGGATTGCAAGAAAAGCTTTGACCTGTTAGACCCCAACAGTTTTTTTCCCCGTCTTTTACTCTATTCGTCAGTTAAACGTTGCAAAAATTTTGTCAATACAGGGCCTAAAAGAGGGCGAGGAAAGTACAGCTGGACTTGTTTTAGTCACAGTAACCATAGCAACCACTGGATGCATTCATGAATCAATCAGGTGGAACAAAATTCCATAATTCTGGCAATATAATTTATTCGATATTCAACAGCTTCAGTACAATAAACTGGTTCTTCGGCATACTAAAATATATAAATTACTGATAGCGAAATTGACTATAAGTTAAATGAGCTGAGAAAGTACCGGTACACGCACGTATATGTGTCGACAAACGAAAGCAAGCGGAAGTTTTCTTCGTTTACGTGTTGTTACATCAAAATTCAGAACCGGGGTTCCACAAATACCGTGAAGCACCATGAGCTTAAAAAAGTTTAACAGCGGTAGTACATACGAGTTTTCAGGCTGCGCAATAAAAAACGATTTCTCCAGATAAATCATCATTCTTGCCATCTGCTCTGATATAACGGGGACGAGCGTGGACTTGTTGGGATCATTCAGATCACATCCTATCTTCGCTTCTCATCCTCTCCTTCCCCCTTCCTGGCTTCTTCATCCTTTCTTCTTCGACCTTCCACACACATTCGTTTCTCATCCATTACTCATTTAACGCATTTTGGCAGCGCAAAGTGTTTTTCAAGCGTTTCTTACAAAGGTATAGCACACCGCACAGATTTGATTAGATTTAATTACAGTGGTTGTAAAGCAGCTATACAGAGTGAAGACAACTACTGTAAGAAGGCAAAGTAACTCACAATAAGCTGAACAATGATATAAACAATTAATGAAAAGAGGAAGTAACTGTGAATGGATCCGTAGGAGCAGAATAAATTATTATTGGGCGATTATGCGTTTTCGCACTATTTCCTGCTGTAGTAAAATCGCTTGGATCCCCAGCAGCTAGAATCTGTGACATACTGTTCCTCGAAGTTCAGTAAGTTTGTTGAGCAACAACGTGGCACTTGGACAGGAAACATCCTGTTAAAATTACAGATTCCTGGCTTTTTTTGCCCTCGAGTTAGCAGTTTTCCCGCCAAAACTTCCGACTGTTCATACGTGAGACCCAGGTTGTTCTAAAGAGCTAAATTTGAAATCTTTTAGTCATACGTGAAAGAACATTTTGCCCTAAAATTTTAGCTTTCTAGCTTTTCTTGGTCCCGAGTTGGCAGTCTTCCTGCCAAGATTTTCACGTGTCTACATGTGAGACCCGAACGGTTATAAGGAGCTCAGTTTGAAATCTTTTGGTCGTAAATGACTGTGCGGAATTCTCTTACAATCCAGCGCTCCAGTTTTTTTCGCTCCCGGACCAGAAATTTTCCCGCCAAAATTTCCACGTGCCCCTATGTGCGACTCAGACGGCCTTGAGGGGCTGAATTTGAAATCTTTTGGTCGTGCATGAGTAGAAAACATTTTTTCAAGGCTTCAGCTTTCTAGCTTTTCTCGTTCGCGAGTCGGTAATTTTCTCGCCAAACTTTTACATGCTTATATGCCAGACGCTGGCGTGCGTGGTAATTGCTACCACATTCTTGGAGTCGCACTTGGCCAAAGAACACAATGGCAAAATTTCATCACCAAAGCTTGCGTGGTTGCTGAATAGAAATACCTGGGCAGACTAACATACATGTATTACATACATGTATACATAAATACGAACATACATGTAACATACACACATACATGTATTCACACAGACAGAGTCTTTGCAACATGCGTTTTTGCCGCCTGTTACAGCACTTTAGCGCCGCACGGCAAAAAAGCATAACAAAGGCTGGAACGCACCAGGCGAGCCGGTGCGATCATGCGTTTTTGCATCCAAACTAAAGTAAAAGTATTGCCCGAGCGTTCGTTTCCAAAAGAACCGCGTTCATTTACATATACAA